TAATAAATTATATAAAATATAAGACATTATATTTATTAATATTGAAGTTAAATGTAACAATAAAACGACTTATATTGGATCAACTTCCTTCTTTTGAAGAGTGGTGAACGACTAGCTCTTTGTTTCGCTCAATCCGTTAATATCGCTTCAGCACAGGACATGCTATTGATATCTCTATTTGGAAAGACGTGTTGATTAGGTATATATCTTCTCAAAGTAGTTTCTGCTGTATATTTCAACAAAGGTGACTATAATAGTCTGTTTGGAACGAATTACATGATCGTGACTTTGGGATCATTATAAGTTAAGTCACCATTGTTCTTAAGGCGTTTACCATTATAATCGTAAAGACATTGATAGTCACAGAAAGGAAGCAAGAAGCATGAGTAATGCTCGTGAAATATTTCAAGTTGGTAATTGTTATGAAGAAGGAAACTTATTTGCAGAACTCATAATTTAGCGGGAGAGAAATTGTTACACTGGAAATTTACACCGTGACTTGACTCACGTGAAAGATGTGCAATTTCGATTAATGTCTTACTAACCCTATTTCACTCTATATCGTTTTGGATTATTTCTTACTAAATTCATAGAGAATAATTATGAGATAATTAGTTAGTTTTGGGTAGCGATAGTATCAATTAGAAATGTCTATAGCTTGTATATCGTAGTTCTTAAAATATGTATATATAGATCTGGCTTTTGCCTTAGTATTAACAGAAGACTATAGTCTCATTGTAAGATTTCGACCCTATCCTTACATCATGTTCTCACTTATTTGACTAATAAATGTCATACAGCTAGGTGTATCTTCATATACAATTAGTTGTTATAAAACCTCTTTGGTAAGTCGTACATTCGACGCTATTATTTTGCCAAATCATACATAGTTATAGTCTTCATACTATAACCTGCACGTCTCTTGAACTTCTATAAAGAGGTGAAGTTCGAGTGTGACAGTGCTGCACAAAAATGCGCGTTTGATCCTCGATTTTGATTGGCCAACTGCCGTGATCAACAAAATTCTGACCTGCATTATACATAATTTTGACCGGAATTAATTTTTTAATTTCAAAAATGGAAATCTTTAAGGTTTGGGCTAGGGTTGTTAAATTACAGTAATTTTACGTAATTTTACGTAAGTTTGTGTAAGATTCGGTAAATAAATTTCATGTAATTTTGAACACATGACATTTAGTTTCTGAGATCAAATTTTCGGCGATTTAGGTGTTACATTTCGGATCGTACA